CCCCTAGAGTCCATCACCGGCCGGTCATTTGGGCTGCTAAGGCTGCTGAGCGGCTCTGGGCTGAAGGCGCCCAAACCAGCAGGGAATCGTGAGATTGTTTTCACCACCCATCACCTCGCTTCACCCAGGAGAGCTTTATTTTTTTAACGTACATTTCGAAGGAGTTTTCCTTCATACAAGCTGGAGAGGAGAAGGACACAAGGTTTGCTCCTGTGATTGCCACTCGTAAACTGTCTGGCACGTAAGGCACTCAGCAGACCCCAGTCTCATCCTGAGTGCTATCACGTGACCTCTCTGAGCTTGGGTTTCCTTATCTAGATTAGAGGGTTGGTGCAGATAATGCGAACAACAGTAACACCCATAGGGCTTTTCACCTGTGCTTTCTCTTTTGCGCCTGCCCTGTCAAGGAGGCAGAGCAAAGATCATTATCTTTGTTCTGAAGGTGAGGAAATATCTCAGGTAAAGAACTTTGCAGAAGGTAAAGAGATTTACAGCTAGAAAATGAAAAGTTCTGTGATTGTATGAAGGAAAGAAATTAAATTGACGAGCAGCACTTAGCGTTCTAACCTTCCCTGCCCACTTTATGAAATTGAGAAAGGGGAACACTGGCGGAAGAGCTGACCTGGAATGCCTGAACTTTCCTCTCTCCTGACTCTGCAGGTTAATCTTTGGCCTGTTTGCCTCCACTTGGAGAGAAGTTCAGTCTGTATTTGCCAGGTCTCCTGAGGTATCCTGCTCAAGGAGCTTCCCTATGAAATAAGTCACGCTAACTGGGGAGCGAGGATCGGGAGTGGGCAGCCCTGAGAGGATGGCAACAACAGGGCCTGTGGGGACCTTCCTGTCAGCAGACCTCCTGGACCAGTTCAGGATCTTGGAGGGTTGCCCTCCTTGGGGCTCAGGCACTGGAGTTTGCACAGGCAGAAGAATAACCTGCTGCATATTTGTCATATTTGTGCTTTTCTGGACTGTATGTCTCATGCATCTGGGTACACTTTGCCTGTGCCATTTGAACCCTGCACTGAGCCAACAAGGACCTGGATTAGTTTAGGAGCAGGACAGGGAAATAGCTTCATTAAAAAATAGAGGTGCGACCTCAGCTCATTGATGAGAAAAGATTAAAAATATAAAATAAAGAGCACAGCTGCCTATTGGGCTACCCATCTCCTGGGGCGTGGGGAAATGTATATTAGATGGCTCTCTGTCTACACTGATTGCTTTGAGTTTGAGCTCATTCCAGATGTTCATTCAATGCATCAGATTTTTGTTGAAGATCTCATGTGTTTGTTTTGTTGGCAACCTCTGCTTGCTGCTAAGTGGTATAGCAGCGTTGGTCAACTGTATCCCTTGCCTCAAAGAGCTCACAATGTAGTGAAGGAGACAGATTTAGAGGAAAAAAAATATTACAAGGCAGAAGATAGTGTGATTGAACAAAAAGTAAACAGTGTTAGCTACTGAGGATTTAAGGATGGGCACGAAAAGTCAGTTCCCATCATCCGTGGGTTCACAGTCCGGTGGGGTAGAGGGGAACTCTGGGGGGGAAGGGGTGTGGAGGACAATCTTCTGAACATTCATGTATAAGCAATGTAGTGAGTGCTGTAGCCTGGGCATAAAAATAATGTTATGTCACAGTGAGGGAGGACTTTGGGCAGTAAGATAGGAGGTAGCATTTGAGCTGTGCTTTAGAAAAAGGTGTGAGACTTGGAAAGGCATACTGGGAAAAGACATGGAGGCAGAAAGTTGTAAGAGGTTTGGGGAGATTTCGAGGCAGTGCAGCTGGTAGTTTGTATACAGAGAGAATGAAGCTTGAAAAGTAAAATGGGGTTAGATTATAGAAATCCTTTCCTGTCAGACCAAAATATTTTCACTTTGTTCTGTAGTTAGTAAGGAAACCATTGAAGTTTTATTTTATTTTTTGAGTTGGAGTCTTATTCTGTCGCCCAGGCTGGAGAGCAGTGGCATGCTCATGGTCACTGCAGCCTCGGCCTGCCGGGTTCAGATGATCCTTCTGCCTCAGCCTTCCAGGTAGCTGGAACTATAGGCATGCGCTACCACATCTGGCTAATTTTTAAAAATTTATTATAAAGACAAGGTCTCACCAAGTTGCTCAGGCTAGTCTCGAACCCCTGAGCTTAGGCAATCCTCCCGCCTCGGCCTTCCAAAGTGCTGGGATTACAGGCTTGAGTCACTGCACCCAGCAACCATTGACGTTTTAGACAGCAGTAATAAGGTAAGAGTACTGTTCTTAAAAGGAAACAGCATGACAGGTTAATAAGAAGGAAGATAGCCAGGCTCAGTAGCTCAGCCTGTAATCCCTCGCTTGGAGAGGCTGAGGTGAGTGGATTGCCTGAGCCCGCAGTTTCGAGACCCATCTGGGCAACTTGGCAAGACCTCATCTCTACAATAAAGCAAAAATTAGCTGGGCGTGGTGGCCGGGAGCGACCACTGCGCTCCAGTCTGGGCAACAGAGTGAGACTCCAACTCAAAAAAAAAGAAGGAAGAGACTCAAGGTATGAAACCAGCTGGGAGACAGTTGCCTTGAGCAGGTTAGAAGTTATGAGGACCTGAGATGAGGCAGTATGGATAAGGATAAGGTTATTGGAGAACAGGCACCAAGCCTTTTTGTGAGAAAGGGAGAATCTCTCCCTCTCCCTCTTCAATTGTGAGACTTTTAGCCTGTGAAGACCAAGAAGAAATCAGGCTGGCCGGGCTCAGTGGCTCAGCCTGTAATCCCGCGCCTTGGGAGGCTGAGGTGAGTGGATTGCCTGAGCCTGTGGGTTCGAGACCTGCCTAGGCAACTTGACGAGCCCTCATCTCTACAATACATCAAAAAATCAGCCGGGCATTGTACTGCATGCCTGTAATTCTGGCTACTCGGAAGGCTGAGGTGGAAGGATCGCCGGAGCCCAGCAGGTCGAGGCTGCGGTGGCCGGGAGCGGCCACTGCACTCCAGTCTGGGCGACAGAGTGAGATTCCAACTAAGAAAAAAAAAAGAAGAAGAAGAAGAAACCAGGCTGAAGAACTGGAGTGGGAAGAGATAAGATGGGTGGGAGGTGCCAGCAGGACATTCCAGGGAATTTTCGACTTGGAGCTCAGGAGAGAGCTCCAGGTTTCAGGTGGAAGCCTGGTGGCATCAGTTGGATGGAGCTTGTTGCAGCTGTGCATGGCTGAGGTCATGGGGAAAGCATGGAATGTGGAGAGAAGGTTGCTGCAGGCACAGGCGTGGGTCACCCCTGCCCGAGCCAGTGAGCAAAAGTAGAGGAAGCAACAGAGTGAAATGGAGCAACAGCGAAAGAGCCAGTCCCAGGAGAGGGCAGGGACCAGGTAGCCTTGGAGAGGTGTGTCAGCAGGTGGCGAGCAACTGTCAGATGCTGCAAGGGCCACGTGGGCAAAGGACAAGTCGAGAGATGAAAGGGGGTTCAGGTGTATGGGGGGGAGGACAGTCTTGAAGAAGTGGAAGGATAGATGGAGGGAGGGTCGGGATGAGGGAGACTCAGCGCAAACTTGAAGGGTCAAGTTGCCTTCCTAGCAAGAAGGATGTGAGGGGACTTGGAACCCCTACTGCAGGAAGTGGTACAGGGAGGCACTGAGGGCAGGATAGTTAAACTGTAGAGCAGGCCGGGCTCAGTGGCTCAGCCTGTAATCCCAGCACTTTCGAGACCCACCCGGGCAACTTGGTGAGACCTTGTTTCTACAATAAATCAAAAAAAGTTAGCCGGGCGTGGTAGCACGCGCCTGTAGTTCCGGCTACTTGGAAGGCTGAGGTGGAAGGATCGCAGGAGCCCAACAGTCAAGGCTGTGGTGGCCGGGAGTGTGCCACTGCCCTCTAACCTGGGTGACAGAGTGAGACTCCAACTCAAAATAAAGGAAGAAATAAACTGTAGAGCAGCTGATGGGCCGTAGGCTGGGAGATCACAGAGCAGGGGTGATAGAGCCAGTCAGTCCCTTTCTGGAAGCTTCTATTCAGCACCTGGCAGCCTGGTAGCCACTGGCTTTGGATGAGGCTTTGGAACAATGGTGGGAGGCACCAAGTTTTCCAAGAAGCTCATGAGAACATTTGTAGGCCTCAGTTTCCCCAGCATACAAAGCAAGGGTTGACCTGGATTATGTCTCTTTTTCTTTTTTTTTGAGTTGGAGTCTCACTCTGTCGCCCAGACGAGTGCAGTGGCTGCTCCCGGCCACCGCAACCTCGACCTGCTGGGCTCCAGCAATCCTTCCGCCTCAGCCTTCCGAGTAGCTGGAACTATAGGCGCGTGCTACCATGCCTGGCTAATTTTTTTGATTTATTGTAGAGATGAGGTCTC